GGGCTCCACCCACGAAGGGTCCACGAAGAAGCAACCTTGTCCATCCCACTATGGCCATCGCCCACGAAGGACTTGCCTCACTAGCGGCAGATCTTCACGAAGTAGGCGATCTCCTTGGCCTTAAAAACTCCTTGGTTCAACTCCACAATCTTGTCGGAGGCTCCCAAGTGACACCTAGCCAATCTAAGAGACACCACTCTCCAAGAAGTAACAAATGGTGTGTTGATGATGAACTCCTTGCTCTTGTGCTTCAAATGATAGTCTCTCCAACACTCAACTCTCTCTCACATGATATGGATTTGGTGGAAAGAAGATTTGAGTGGAAATCAACTTGGGGAAGGCTAGAGATCAAGATTCATATGGTAGGAATGGAATATCTTGGTCTCAACACAAATGTAGGTGGTTCTCTCACAGAAAATATAGGTTGGAAGTGTAGGTTTGTTCTGATGCCTCTCTCCACGAATGAAGAGGAGGTGGAGGGGTATATATAGCCTCCACACAAAATCTAACTGTTACACATAACTTTCCAAACTCGATGGGACCGAATGGTTAAACTCGGTCGGACCGATTCAGCAAAGCTAGTGACCGTTAGGGTTTTCGGTGGGACCGACATGCAACTTGGTAGGACCGATATGATTAGGGTTAGGGCATAATGTAATCTCGGTGAGACCGATTACACAAACTCGGTGAGACCAATTTTGGTAATAAGCTAACCAGAGAGTTGGTCAGGTAAACTCGGTGGGACCGATCGCTCATTTCGGTGAGACCGAAACGTTACGAAGGGAAAACAGAGAGTTTACATTGCAATCTCGGTGGGACCGATCGCTCATCTTGGTGAGACCGAAATGTTATGAAGGAAACAGAGAGATTACAATCCCATCTCGGTGAGACCGAGATCCCTATCGGTGAGACCGATTTGCCTAGGGTTTGTGGCAGTGGCTATGACATTTGAAAGTCGGTGGCACCGGATAGAAGAATCGGTGGGGCCAAGTTTGACTTTTGGTTTAGGTCATATGTGGATGTGAGAAAGTAGTTGAGGGTTTTGGAGCATATCACGAAGCATTTTGAGCAAGAACCTCATTAAGCAACACCTCATCCCTCCTTGATAGTATTGGCTTTTCCTATAGACTCAATGTGATCTTGGATCACTAAAATAGAAAATGTAGAGTCTTGAGCTTTGAGCTTGAGCCAATCCTTTGTCCTTAGCATGTTGAGGGGTCCACTTTTCTCATCCATGCCATCCCAATCATTGAGCTTTCCTGAGATATTAATCTTGAAATAGCATTAGCTCAATGAGCTATATGTTGTTAGGAATTACCAAAACCACCTAGGGATAGTTGCACTTTCAGCATCCAGGTTCCGCTATTGGTTATTGACCGGAGACGTGTCTTGATCATGTCTACATAGTTCTCGAACCCGTAGGGTCCGCACGCTTAAAGTTCGGTGACGATCGGTATTATGAGTTTTGTGTTTTGATGTATCGAAGGTAGTTCGGAGTCCCGGATGTGATCATGGACATGACGAGGAGTCTCTAAATGGTCGAGACGTAAAGATCAATATATTGGACGACTATGCTCGGACACCGGAAAGGTTCTGGAAGGTTTCAGACATATATCGGAGTACCGGGGGTTACCGGAACCCTCCCGGGGGCTTAATGGGCCTACATGAGCCTTAGTGGAAATAGAGGGAAGCAAGGGGAGTGTGGGGCGCGCCCCCCAAGGCCCAAACCAAATTGGTTTAGGGCAAAGGGGGCCGGCCCCCTCTTTCCTTCTCCTCCTCTCCCTTTCCTTCCCCCTCTCCTACTCCTACTAGGAATAGGAGGAGTCCTACTCCTAGTGGGAGTAGGACTCCCCCTTGGCGCGCCTCTCCCTGGCCGGCCGCCTCCTCCCCCTTGCTCCTTTATATACGGGGGCAGGGGGCACCCCATACACACACAATTGATCATTGATCCCTTAACCGTGTGCGGTGCCCCCCTCCACCATAATCCACCTCGATCATACCGTAGCAGTGCTTAGGCGAAGCCCTGCATCAGTAGTATCATCATCACCATCACCACGCCGTCGTGCTGACAAAACTCTCCTGTGAAGCTTTGTTGGATCGGAGCTCGCGGGACGTCATTGAGTTGAACGTGTGCAGAACTCGGAGGTGCCGTGCGTTCGGTACTTGGATCGGTCTACGAGGGTACGTAGACACACTCTCCCCTATCGTTGCTATGCATCACCATGATCCTGTGTGTGCGTAGGAATTTTTTTGAAATTACTACGTTCCCCAACACTTACCACCCATTTGACAGCACACAACACACACACACAACACACTATGATCAACAGCAGCAAAAATATAGCAAGGACAAAGCAAAAAACAACACAAAGAACAGGCATATCATAATCTACTAGGCATAAGTTTAAAACAGCAGGGCATCCCATTCCCCTGCTGAACCCCAGGTTGCTGCTCCCTGGGCAAAATATTCACATGTTCACAGCAAAACATACGTTCAAACTTAAAAGTTCACTCCTAAACTACTATGGATCAGACTTGATAGACGAACTAGAGGGCCTGAGTGATGTCACCGACGCAGCTGTGCTTTGAGCACCAGCCCGTGCAGATGTTGGAGGTGTTGGCGTTGAAGATCTGCACCTTCAGCCCCAGGCCGAAGAGCTTGAAGACAATAAAGTCGTCAAGAACGATCTTGTGCCGGCAGCAGAAGTACCCCTAGTCGTGCCCCAGCACCATGTGCCCCCTGAACATCTGCACCTGGACCCAAAACTCGCACCACTTGTTGGCGGAGGGCTGGCGATGCGAGGAGGGCCGCTGACCGGCCATTGCTTCATCACCGACTTGAATTTACGCGAGATGATGAGCATGTCGATGTCCTCCCGGTCAATGATCTGCACGTAGCAGGTTCCCGTGCACCCTCCTCATGGCTGTTCCTCGGCCTCCTGCCAGTGCCCAGTGACATCCTCTTGTAGTCCACCCTGCCAGGGAGCACCACCCTCTTCAACCACCGGTTAGTGGGGATGAGGTCCTCTGCCCCTCTGCACCACCACCGACTCTGTCCCACTCCGTCTTCATTATCTTGTCAACAACATGGACATCAGTTAGCAACATATGACACATGATCGTAGCTAACAAGTAGGACATCATCTATGCTGACTGAACACAACTTACAGTGATAACTACTAACGCATGATCAGTGCTTACAGTTATCAGATCAAGTCACCACTCACATGTCCTACTTGCACCTACTACTTTTGGCATTCAGATATGTCCTACTTGCATGCTACATGCACTCACGTACCCTAGCAAGAACAACAAGAGGAGGACTAAGAACTAATAACAATAGCAAGAACAATAACATATACACTAGTAACAACACTAATAACTAACAATGTGGTAGTATAAAGATACAATGTGTGACTACAAACTAACAATTTGGCAGTACAAAGTAACAATGTGGCACTAAAATGATGCTAACTAACACTGCATTATGAACAATCTAGCCACGTGGGATGAACAAAGTACGCATGCACTCTGGTTCATCCCCAAAATAGTGGGTTCTGATTGAATTCAGTCGTATCTAGTCGAATCGAATCGAATCCGCTCGAATATACTGTCCACAATATAATCTAACACACTTAGAGCTACCCTAAGAACCCTAAGTACGAAGCAAAGGGAGATTTGAGAGCTTACAGTTGGGGGTGCCAGTGTAGCGTACGCCGACCGTGGCAAAAAACCCAGCGGGAATAGGGGTGCTGGCGCCGCCGATGAAGAGGACCCAACCATTTTGAGGGCCGCGGACGTGCACCTCGTCCCGCGCCGACTCGAATTCGAAGATGACGTCGACGTCCTGGAGCTCCCCTCCCCTTGCACTGGACGCATAGAAGAAAACCTTCGTATGGGGGTAAAAATTCCTCCATAAGAGGGGCCTGCAAAGGACGACGCCGATAGGTATTGGATCCCCGCCAGTTTTGAGCCGAAGGAGAGGACCACCGACTCTGGTGGCGGAGCCAGAGCGATCAGCGCCGGCGCTGCATTGGCCCGGAGTGGCGACATGCTACAGAAAGGGGAGGGAGCTCGCAGTGCCGCCGCCAGATCCACTCCGGCTGCAGAGAGGCTGGCAATCCACCTCTCTTGGATGGGATTGCTGCCGACGATGGTTGGAGTGGGTGGGGCATGGTGAGATGGCGGCGTTGCCATCGGAGAAACCGAACGGGCGACGAGGTGAGAGAAAGGGAGTGGGTGTGAACTGCCGAGGGAGGTGACGGGAGGGGGCGTGGGGACTTATGAGCCGTCGTGTCGTCTCCTGCACTTCCCTATGCGTACAGGCGGTCGCCACGCGTGGCTCGAGCGAGCCTGGCTCGCAAAAAAGGCTGATTCAGCCATTCCTCTAGAGCCATGCCTAGGCCTGCTTTGAGGTTCGTACGGCCCACAAATCGCATGTGAGTCAGGCAACCAAACGGGCAAAATTCTACCCGTGCGGGCCTGGCCCGACCTAATGTAACCTACCAACAAACACGTCTTATGTTGTTGCCAGCGCTTTCCCGGGCAGAAAGTCATAGTTTAGTCATGACGGTAGTGCGACCAAAATACTACAAAAGTCTCCCAAATGGAATCTCTATCTCTACTGATAATAATGAGCAGTACTTCTTGCGGTCCGTCGCGCAATTTTGCAAAAAATCCCTGCATGTTCTGTGAATTAACGAGTAGTACACACTTTACCGCCGGTGACCATAAGTGGGTTGCTTATTCAAGTAAGGACAACATCCTAGCACCGGTCCTTCCACATAACAAAAGTAGACGCGAGTCAATGAATCGTGATGAATGTAACTAGACGGAATTCCTATGTGTCCTCAAGAACGCTTTGCTCACTATAAAATTGTTTGATATGTTACAAGAATCAATAATGCACGACAGAAAATCAAAACTGCTATTTCTTCTGTTCAGTGGGCTTTTGAAGCCAATCGGTTTAATTATCCATTAACCTGCCGCGGCTATCTGTATCATTGCTCATCCTTGAACCACTGCCGAATGATGTAGACGACGAAGGCAACACAAAACACTTCTGAACCAAGGCCGACCGGAATTTTGACCCACAACGAGGAAGCAAAAGCTTCCCGCACAAACAAATGCCAGAGTGCAAACCACATAGTGCTGAAGGCTGATCCTACAGTAGCGCCCACAAGAACCTGGTTCAGTGTGTGGAGACGCTGCGATATCCGTAGCCACGACTGCATGCACATAAGGGGGTTAAAGATTATAATGTGCTAAAGAATTCAAAGATTGTAACCCAAGAGTATGTCCTGCAATTTAGATGATTGAAGGTGAAAAAGTCTACCAAGCAGAAATTGACTAGAGTGAGCTAAAGAACTTAAAAGATTTAACCACAGAAGAGTATGGTCCTGCAATTGAGATGATTAAAGGTGAAAGAGTCTACCAAGTAGAAACTCTTACTAGATAGGAGGCCGATGCTATAGTTGTAGCCCCAATAATCATTGCCAGATAATTTGTCCCAAGCCAATAGAAGACTGCGTTGCAAAACAACCCATATAAGATAATTCACACATTCCTTTTCATTGAACAGGTGGACATTTGATTGCTAACGTCCATGGAGGTATTGTTACAAACTTTTAACTGATAAGCATCTAGTTTCTTTGTTTGGCACAAAACAGGCATATTATTCCTAGTTTAGTCTCCATTCATTGTGTTTACTAGAATAGAAAAGCTATGCGGCAAAAACTGAGGAAAAAAAATAGTTACGGAGATACTGTGTGCCATGTTTAAAATGAACTAGGACCGATCTCCTGTCAGCATTTATGCTTCCGATGTTGCCAGGAGTATATACTGAGAAATAGTATGATGGTTTAATGAATCTAGAAAAGCTTACCTGAAAGAACTAGAAGTGTTGCAGCATAGAAAATGGATTGGGCATGGGATGATGGCATCCCAGGATCAGACCGCAAAGCTGGTGCCGGCCTTTCATGGTTGAGCAGTTTTTTAAGAACCGACGAAAGCATAGAGTTTGCTTGCGCACCCATCAAAGCCCACATAATTTCAGAATCACGCTTCCAAAGAGCCACAAAAGCAAAAGAACCAGCAACCAGCCATTTACTCTGGCACACAATGTTAAAATTTCAGTACAAGGTCCAGAATCCCAAGTAAATAGCAAAAGCTTTTCTCTTGAAGGTAAATAGCACATAGTTAATCATCTAAATTCCTCTCAGAAAAACTTATCAGATACAGTTGCACAAATCAGGCATTAGATGACTAAGATAGTCTACAACTAAACACAGTAAATGTGTATACAAAATAATAATCAAAAAAGGCTTCATAAATAATTATGTGTATAAAAAAACTAAAAAAAGCTTCATAAATAATGTTCACACAAGAACAACCTAGCTGGCGACATATATTGCAGTTAGACACCTACAATCAACTTAAAAAAAGGTAACACCTACAATCAACTAAAAAAAAAGGTAGACACCCACAATGATGCTACTAAAGCAATGCATATTCTCTTCAGAGATCAAATCAGAATATTCTAGCGTTTCAGTTCCTTTTTGATAAAGCCTCCTGCCTTTCAGCATGGCAGTGTTCCAACTTTCAATGATCAGAGCTCTTTTTTTTTTGAAGGCATCAGCACCGGGTCCGTAACTAAGCAAAGCTCATACTAATAAGTAAGACATACTCCCTCCGTCCCAAAATAAGTGTGGAGAGAGTATGAGATTCCGAAAAGGATCAACATATGTCATAGGAACATATACAAATTGCAGCTTCTTAGCAAAAACGAGCACTAACCATCCCATTCAGCGCCGCCTCGACGGGCGTCCACCGGGTTGCCGCCGCCTCCGCCCTCTGACCGGGCAACTTGTCACCTCCCAGCATCGCCTCCCCCTCCCCAGCAGAAACCCCAGGCTCCCGGGATGACCCACGCCCGACCATGGCCATCTCAGCCATGCACAAGACGAGCCGCCGCGGCGACCTTGGCCGCCGGCTACGCGGAAGCGAGAGTAGCCGGTCTTTGCGCTGCGGGAGACGATTCAAGCGCACGGGCTCGACGCGCGGCCATGGGGCTGGTGGCGACAGGAGCATGGTTCTGCTGACCGCCAGCGTGGGAGCGCGGCGCGGGAGAGGCGGCGCTAATGCGGGGGGAGAGCATCTCGGCTATCCGAGGATTTTGACGGGAGGGGATTTCTCGGTTTGGCTGGATCGTGATGGTCCCCTTGGCGTTTTGGTCAATGCGTGCTTATTTGGTCGAAAATGTGGGATGGACTTTTTGTGGGCATTCGCGTTAGAGAAGCACGTGTTGTGCTACGTCCTGATCATAGTTTAGTCACGTATAGTGCGACCAAAATGTTGCAAAAATCCTCCGAAAGAAATGCAGAATAAATCTGAAAATAGGATTGCTAAATTTTAGTCTACTGAGACCTAGTTGATGCTATATTCATAAGATTTTACATGAAGATCCTTAAAAATTTTCTTTTAACTTTTATTTATTTATTTGCTATACCACTTGACTGAGACTTGATTAAGTTTTAGTCAACCTATCTAGCCACACCCATCTGAAGAAGCTACATATAGCATGACTTCGCACCGGTCTCCTAAAGACTCCCCAACTCTCTTTTGGACAATTCCA